CCTCCTCCTTTCCTGCGTGGGGGGGAGCACCCTGTTGCAACAGCTTTAATAAAGATCTGGCTTACTAGCTGCTTTGTTTCTCAATATTCTCTGGTTGGTCTCTGTTATTTTCTCCTACCAATAGAGAACCTACAAAAGGACTCTATATGGGCTCTTGGGTACCCCATAAGGGATAAAGGAGCAGTTTTTTTTCTCATAACAACCCCAAGAATGGATGGCTTCACCATCTCAGTCTTCTTTTTGACTTTCATGATATTAGGCTGGGTCAGCGGTCGCCACGGCTGGCAGCTTCAGACGCATCATTTCTAGACCCCCGTTCAATTTCATGCTCAGCCTTCAGCTAGTCCCCATCCAGAGTCACTTCTGAAGCAAATGCCCCCTAAGGCCAGTCATGAAATGCTGCGGTCAGCTGCCCTGCCCGGTTACAGTTATTGTCAGTGGCCTGTTTGCCCAGAAGCTGTCAGGTGTGCGTGCAGGAGCCAGGCCCTGTGACCAATAGTACTCTGCAGGACTGGGGCTTTCCTAAGTTTCTTCTGAAGAGGCATGGCACAGCCACACAGGTGAGGCTGATTTGTAACTCACAGCACCTGGTGGCAAGAGCCAGGAAGGGATATAAAGTCAGCATTTTCCCTTCGACTCTTTGCCACAGCAAGACGTTCCCTGCTCTGCTGCGTTTGGCTTCTTGACTCCTTGCTTCTTGATCCTCGGACCCTTGGCTTCTTGACTCCCGGCTCTCTGACCCTTGGCTTTCTGACTCCTGGCTTCTGGACTCCTGTTCCTGCTCCCACCCCGCCATCTTGCCCCTGGTCCTGATGTCCCCAGCCAGGACTTCGATCGCCCGTGAACTGGACCATGACAGAAGTAGAAGGTTGATGCCTTCTGCCTTCTCCTGCACAGTCAGGATCTTGGAAACCTGGAAGGGGCCGAGGCTGTTGTAGTCTTTGGCAGGGATCTCCACAGGCAGCTCTCGATCAGCCCCCCATGACGAAGGCCGTGCAGATTATCTCCTGGCACTGCTGTGGACCACAGCCTACAGCATGGGTAGGCAAACTAAGGCCTGGGGTCCGGATGCGGCCCAATCACCTTCTCAATCCAGCCTGCGGACGGTCCGGGAATCAGCATGTATTTATAATGAGTAGAATGTGTCCTTTTATTTAAAATGCATCTCTGGGTTATTTGTGGGGCATAGGAATCCGTTCATTATATTTTTTGAAAATATAGTCCAGCCCCCACAAGGTCTGAGGGACAGTGGACCGGCCCCTGCTGAAAAAGTTTGCTGACCTCTGGTACAGAATTTGGGGAGACAATCTTCTTTTCCTTGAGCTGCACAACTTCCTCCCCAGCAATCTTGCAGAAGGGGATCATGGAGTTCTTGACACCATCTGTCACCATGCCTGTTTTCTCTGGTTTCACCCACACCTTCACAGTGTAAATAGTGACCGCTTCACTCCCACCATTGCCCTTGGCCTGGCCGCTGCCATCGCGCCCCACGCCCAGTCATCCTCTCAGCTTAAGCCCCTCTACCTTAAGGCCATTAGATCATGTCTTGCCTTGTGGGCCCACAGAGAAGAAGTCCTTGCTCTCTTGTTATGCAACAATCCATCGGGCATTTGAAGAGCGGATGGGGAATTCCTAATGGAATTTCTCAGGAACCTCATGCCTGAGTCCTGAGTGTAACACTTGGACGTATCACAGGTAGAGGAAGAGGCTTTGGAGGAAAAGAACTTAAAAAAAACAAACCTTCCAAGAGGAGAGTCCAGTGTGAAACTACCAGATTACAACTTATCAAGAAGTGTAATTCATCTTCTGGTTGGGAGTGCCTGTAGGCAGTGATATTTTGGAATGAGATACTCAAAATGATCAGCACCATAACTGGGCAAACAATGGTTAAAACATGGGAACTAATGCTACTTTCACTGTTTAACTTGGAGGCGGGGAATGTAGTATTTAAGGGCTTGATTACATTCGTTGTTAGTCACTGCCAGGCTTGTGATAACACAATAGTGGAAGCACAATAGGACTCCTGCTATAGAGCTCTAGTATGGTAAACTTTGGAAAATTGCCACAGCGGTGTGGCTTAGGCATCAATTCTTAGTTATCAGGAGACAGGTGAAATGGGATGCCTTCTTTTTTCTTTTCTTTTTTTTTCTTTTGCAGATCGGAGTAGTTTTGTTTTTCATGCTAATAAGACAGTATAACGACACCCAAGCCCAATATGCTACTATTCGGAAAAATTGCAATTCAAGTGTTAGAGGGACCATCAGTTTCCCTCTAAATTAGTTCTGTAACAAGAGAGTACTGTATTTTTTGCTCTATAAGACTCACTTTTTCCCTCCTAAAAAGTAAGGGGAAATGTGTGTGCGTCTTATGGAGCGAATGCAGGCTGCGCAGCTATCCCAGAAGCCAGAACAGCAAGAGGGATTGCTGCTTTCATTGCATTTTTTCCCCTTGTTTTCCTCCTCCGAAAACTAGGTGCGTCTTATGGTCCGGTGCGTCTTATAGAGCGAAAAATACGGTATATTACGTTATTTCAGCTATTGTGCCATTGTGGTTTTTGGGTCTTTTATGCAGAGTTTCATTTGTTTTCTGGTTTTTTTCTTGATAAATGTAAATAAATGTGGTTTTCAACATGATTTTTTTTTTTAAAAAAAGTACAATTATATCATCTCTGCATTGAGGCGCGATAATGGTTTTCTATCCCATGGTAGGGGTTAATTAACCATGGTAGGGGTTAATTAATTGTTTGCCAAGTGTTTGCATTAGGGTGTTTGCATTATCATTGATTGCTGGTCTTGTGAATGATCGTTGGGCACATTTTGCATACATTAAGCTTAATTCTCACAGACTTTTGACCAGCCCAAGCCAGCATGGCCAATGTTCAGAGATGAAAGCTTATCCCATGATAAACTTGTTAGTTAGTCTTAACTGCCTCAAGACTGACTCTTTGTTGTGCAACATATATTTTATGTGCACACATTAAATTCTAGGGATATACCTAATAAGGTATGTGAGGTCTACATTTGGGATAGAAAAGACTGAAAAGCTTTTCAAGTTTCAATTTTAAGCTTTTCAAGATTCAATTTAAGGTTGCATTAGAGATCAGAGAGACACTTTCAGAACTTCTGGTTCTTTTACCTGAATAGATCCATATTAAGAAGAGTAATTAATTTACCCCTTCCAAAAGAAAGTTTCTCTTATATGCTTATCACGCCATCAGATCCAGTACTTTGAAACTGGAATACTTAATTAAAGATGTAAGAAACAGAAAACATTTCATTCAACTTGAAAGTAAAGCAATTCATTTAAAGTCTGGGAAAGCTGTGGTTTTGTTCACTGTGACACCCAGGGCCCTCCCCATTTTTGTAGTTCTTTGGAAAGGTATAGTCCTTTTAGAAAGCAAGCTCCTCTCCCCCGAATTACACAACCGAATTTGTGGGCAGACGTTCTAATCACCCTAGTGATGGAAGAGTTGTTATCCAATTAGAGGTGCCTTTTTGTCATTACAATTTCAGTTGTTACCCAAGGCTACTGAGGAATTATACAGCTATTTGGCTGGCTATTAGCTGTGGATTCTCTAAGGATCTGGTTTAGTCTCCATTTGTTCTAGGTCTGACAGCATTTCTGGTTGGAAGAACACCCTATCAGTGGCTGGGTAGCTTCAAAATAACTAGCATTTGGTCTTGGTTCAAAAAACATCGCAAGCCTGAATTATATGGTTCAAAAGAGTCTTGTGTCACCTTAAAGCCTTAACAAACCTCTTAATCTCAGGGTTTTGGGTTTGAGCCCCACTTGGGGCAAAAATTCCTACCTTGCCGGAGGTTGGACTAAATGATCCCTGTGGTCCCTTCCAACTCTGCAATTCCATGAAAAACATAGTATTGCATAGGCTTTCGCAGGCTGCAGTCCATTTCATCAGATGTGTGAGGTGTACATTGTGGAAGGGGAATAAGTCAGAGGGGAAAACCCAAAAAAGGAACATGTCATTTCCCTCTGACCTCAAGCCCCTACATTCTTCCACCCTCAGCTATGCTTGTCAGTTTAGGATTACATTTCATGGATCTGATGTATTGGACCACAGAAGTCTATACCATAATAAATATATTATTCTATAAGGGGCCACAAAACTCTTAGCGCCTTGCAGCAAAAGCAACAAAACCTGGGCCTTTTTAAATGGTTTAAGCTGCATCTAGCAACACTACCTGCAAATGCTGGTCGAAAATAAAGGGAGAGAATAGAGAAAGGGTGGCGATAATGATCCCCCATTGTCCCCCAAGAACTGAAAAAGGGATTAGTGCGCATGCAGTTTTTGCACGTCTCATTTTTGCATTGTATGCATTGTTACACACCACTGCAGTCTTTGAGCGGTGTGAGATTCCATGGGCTCCAGAAGCTCACCCAGGATTCATGTTTCCTTTTGGAAATGAGACACACCAGAGACTGTGGTGCTTTTATGATATATGGTTTATTTACACTTCTATACAACCTGAGCCTACGATGGAGGGGATGACTGTCGCAACCGTGGGATGGAAAACCAGCTGGCTTGGCCCCAGCCAGAGCGTCTCCCTTCTCAGCCTTGCCACTGCAGAGATCCATCAGTCATCCTCCTCCGACATGCGTCTGTGACTCATGCTACTGTGCATGCAAGAGCACACATTACTCAGCAGAGTAAATACACAATAGATCAGGCTCAAGGCATGGATACTATACTAAACTACGCATTTATTATACATAAATCAGGACAAAGAAAAACATGGCCTCTCTCCTTGTCGTTCTTCTCAGAGAGAGAGAACACAAAAGCAATGCAGAGCGGATGTTCCGCTCACGGGACTCCAGCAATCTGTGCTGGAATGTGAACAGACATGTGACATGTAACAAACCCACATATCTGCAGCAAGGGTGGAGTGGAATTCCCAACAATATTAACACCCCAGGAGGACCTTGCTTCCCTCATTGCTGCAATCTTGGATTAAAACAGAAATCAAACATTGCTGCGTCTCTCTCAGTTCCCAGATTGATGCTTTTGCCTTCTAGGTCACATTTTACTCTCTGCTCTAAACTCTGGCTATACCTTTCTAACTATCCAAGAGTTGAGGGAGGGCCCCCCACCCACCTGCCATCTCCCACAGAGCCCCTTTCCTTTGTTCCCCGTAATGGCCCTTCACCCAGGCGATTGCTTCATTAGGAAGGCGATCAATTTTTACACTTGCTAGAGCCACAAAACTGGTTTGGTGAGAAGCTACGGTGATGCTAAAGAAAAACGTGCATAAACCACAATATTTATATTCCTTCTAGATTTTACGGGTTTACATTTTCTGATTCCATATATAACTTCTCTGGTATTTTCTGTATGAAGATTTACAATGTCTAAAAGTGTGTTCAGGATCAATGACTAACTTATCTGAAAAGCTGTAATTGTGCGTGCACAATATATCAGCTGTCCTACATGCTATGTTAGGGATGCAAGTGGCACTGTGGTCTAAACCACTGAGCCTAGGGCTTGCCGATCAGAAGGTCGGCAGTTTGAATCCCTGCGACGGGGTGAGCTCCTGTTTCTTGGTTCCTGCTCCTGCCAAGCTAGCAATTCGAAAGCACGTCAAAGTGCAAGTAGATTAATAGGTACCACTCCAGCGGGAAGGTAAACGGCGTTTCCGTGCGCTGCTCTGGTTCACCAGAAGTGGCTTAGTCATGCTGGCCACATGACCTGAAAGCTGTACATCGGTTCCCTCGGCCAGTAAAGCGAGATGAGCGCCGCAACCCGAGTTGTTTGCGACTGGACCTAACATTCAGGAGTCCCTTTACCTTTTACATGCTATGTTGTCATTCTTTTACTGCGAACATGGGAATAGGAGTTTAATCTCTGATAGGGTATGGTTAAAATTATGTGTTCCCAGGACTCTTCGGAGCTCAGTTTGTTTGCAAAATCATCTATAGCAGGCTAGAAACCTCTGAACCCTGATTTGCCTAGGCATTCATACATTCAAGTTTCCTTTTTGTAGAGGAAGGCCTGTCTCGACTACTTAATTGCAAATTTCAGATGAGCCAAATATTATACTACTGTGTAGAAAGAACAGTATCTTTATTTTTTGTTTGTTTTTTTAACAAACAATTGAGATAGAGATCTGGCGCACCCCTAATCCCAATTAAGATCTCAAATTTACTTTGAAAGTGTTGGTTTAATTTGCTGAACTAAGCTCTGTCTCAGGAAAGCATGTACAGGGAGATGCCAAAGGAATCTTGCTTCTCATCTTGGAAGCAGAGGGGTTGCTTTGTTCAGGTTTTGTGTGGTCCAGACGTAACACTTAATCATAGTTATTATGTACCATGGTTTGTGATCCCATGTGATTTCACATCCAGGTTTGGAGCCTAATCCTTATGACTGAATACTTAAAGGTAAAGGACCCCTGACAGTTAAGTCCAGTCGCAGACGACTCTGGGGTTGCAGTGCTTATCTTGCTTTACTGGCCGAGGGAGCCAGCGTTTGTCCACATACAGCTTTTCGGGTCACGGGGCCAGCATGACTAACCGCTTCTGGCACAATGGAACACCACGACGGAAGCCAGAGCGCACGGAAACACCGTTTACCTTCCTGCCGCAGCAGTACCTATTTATCTACTTGCACTGGCATGCTTTCGAACTGCTAGGTTGGCAGGAGCTGGCACAGAGCAACGGGAGCTCACCCCGTCGAGGGGATTCGAACTGCTGACCTTCTGATCAGCAAGCCCAAGAGGCTCAGTGGTTTAGACCACAGCGCCACCCGCATCCCGCTGAATACTTAACCATGACTTAATAATTAACTGTTGGAAGGAAAACAAATTGCAATTAAGTGATGTGTCTGCAAAGAAACAAGCAGCATCAGCCTATGGGAAGATTATTGACCTTCCTATCTTTCATCCAACAATAGAGTGATCTGGTAAAGAAGAGCATACGTGGTTCTCTCCATTGAATAAAATGTCAAGTTCCACAAAGAAATATGCACGTGATCAAAAGTGAGTGAGACAGTGCGGGTGACAGAAACACACTGAGATTTCTTGCTCTCGTGAAAAGGATTGGTTGTCTCAGGAAACCACCCTGCGATAACCTCTGAATTGCACCTAGCATCCATATACTTGGAACAATAACGCCTGTTCCTACTGTTTAAAGTTTTCTTAGAGGAGTAGGTGGCCTTTAGCCCAACATCTCTGGGGGAATTTGAGGTACTGGTATTAAGTGAATGTGTCCTTCAACCGGGGCAGTAACAATCTGATGGTTTGTGCTAGATTGTATGTAAGCTGGTCTGGAGGTTGGAGGCCTTGAAACTGATACAGTCAACTACAGTGTTTTCTTTTCTTTTTCAGCTTGATGACTGCACATTGCAGCTGTCTCACAATGGTACCTACTTGGATTTAGAGTCTACCTTAGCAGAACAAAAGGATGAATTGGAAGGTTTCCAGGAGGATTCTGGGTAAGTTGTACATTGGAAAGGTGTGGAAACATTGATTTCCATGGAGGTTTCTGTAGGGGAGAATTGGGTTGGATGATGTGGGTTTTCTCCACCACTGGCAGGAAGTTAAAAACCGTTTGAGGGATACTTTAATGGGGAGAGAAGCCCCCCCTGGCTCCATCTTCCTTTTCTGCCTTTGCCACTGGAAGGGGGTTTCTTGCCTGTTCTATTTTTTTTAAGTAAATTTTTATTGTTTTCCTTACATATTCTTTTCCAACAAATTATAATAACACGATACATTCCCTTGGACTCTGCCGAGTCGCGACTCCCCTCCCTCCCCACAATTGGTATATTTAACCCCTTTCTATCGAGCACATCATTCTCGTAATAGTACTATTATACATTGGAGGTATTATGTCAATCCTGCTAGTGTCTTAACCTCTTTACAATTCTTCTTTAAATATTCGATAAATTTACTCCAGTTATTTTGGTATCTTTGATCTCCCTGGTCCCGGATCCTCCCTGACAGTTTGGCAAGTTCTGCATATTCTGTCAACTTCGCCTGCCACTCCTGTATAGTTGGTATGTCTTGTACTTTCCATCTTTGGGCCAGAAGGGTCCTCGCGGCAGCTGTAGCATACATGAACAGATTTTGGTCTCCCATTTTAATTTCTGTTCCTATTAAGCCTAAAAGACACGCTCCCGGTCTTTTGGGGAAAGTATATCTAAATATTTTTTTGAGTTCATTATAAATTAATTCCCAAAATTTTTTTACCTTATCGCATGTCCACCACATATGGAAATAGTCCCCATCTGCCTTTTTACATTTCCAACACTCTCTTTCTTTTTTCCTATACATTTTAGCTAATTTTACTGGCGTCAAATGCCATCTATACATCATTTTTAGCAAGTTTTCCTTTAAAGCCATGCATCCTGTAAATCTCAACATCTCAGGATGTTGAGATTTACAGGTTTCTTGCCTGTTCTAGGCATGGCAATAGGACAAGGTGGGAAAAGCCACCTTGGATGGGATTTTTATGCCTTTGTCTTTGTTCCTTTGTCTTTGTTTCTTGGATCACTTCTGCTCTCCTGTATCAGGTACTATAGCTCAAGAAGGACTGTAGCACATGATTACTTTCTTGGAAGTAGGGAGCTCTTTCTACTTGCTGTTGCTACCAGATACTGCTTTGTTAAGAAGCTGTATCCAAAACAATAAACGTTGTTAAGTGCAGCTCTGAGTGGCACCAGAAGACTGTGTTATATCTGTAGATATTTGGAAAGCATTCTCTTTTCTGACTACTAGTAGGTCTTAAAAAATATTTTTGTATACCATGCAAGGAGAAAATGAAAGGAGGGTGGTAATACATTGTACAGTGGTACCTCGGGTTAAGAACTTAATTCGTTCTGGAGGTCCGTTCTTAACCTGAAACTGTTCTTAACCTGAGGTACCACTTTAGCTAATGGGGCCTCTTGCTGCCGCACCGTCTTCGTGGTGCGATTTATGTTCTCATCCTGAAGCAAAGTTCTTAACGTGAGGTACTACTTCGGGGTTAACGGAGTCTGAAACCTGAAGCGTCTGTAACCTGAAGTGTCTGTAACCTGAGGCACCACTATGCATTTTGGCAGGTGAAACCATGTTCTTTCCATCTGAGCATCAGATCCCATTATTTCAGTTCTTCAAGTACAGTATATGGTTAACATTTTACTGAGAAAGCATGGTCCCCTGAGGGAGTGTACACTTTAAAAAAATTGTCTCCTCTCACTTTAAAAAGCCCCCTGAGTTCTCTGTATGGCATATTACTTGGCAGAGTGCTTGTTCCAACTTCATAGCTGAGATATTGCAACATGAGAGACAGGCAGAGGCAGTTTTGAATGGGAAGACCAGATGTGTGTATGCCCTAGAACTGGAAATTGGCATGCCAATCACTGATCCCCACTAAGTCCTGCCACATCTCAACAATCAATCAATCAATCAATCAATCAGTCAGTCAAAGGGGGGCGGACACCCATACCAAAAGGAGATGACTTCTGTGAGTGCCTGCATTGTCTGCCCCCTCTTCACATACTGGGAGTGGCCGTTCCTAGTTGGCTCCCACTACTACAAGGACTTGGAGCAGGAAAAAGTTGGTACTACAGCTGAAAATTATTGTCCCCTGCGGTAGTAGCTGCAGTGTTCCTGATTAGCCAATGGGTGCGCATCAGTTATAGTGCACCTGACTTATCTAAGCTGCACATCAACTCTTTCAGCATCAATAATTTCCATGTTCTTACTTGGATTTTCAGTTGTGGTCATCAGGGTTTGATTTACTTATTTAAGAGTATTGCAGCAACATATGTGTGAAGACACTGAAAGAGCTTCAAAGAAGAGCTTTGGTAAAGTCATTCCATGATGTCCAAACTGAAGCACTGTGCAAATTCATTTACTGTATTTTGTGCTCTTTAAGACTCACTTTTTCCCTCCTAAAAAGTAAGGGGAAATGTGTGTGCGTCTTGTGGAGTGAATGCGGGCTGCGCAGCTATCCCAGAAGCCAGAACAGCAAGAGGGATTGCTGCTTTCACTGCGCAGCGATCCCTCTTGCTGTTCTGGCTTCTGAGATTCAGAATAATTTTTTTCTTGTTTTCCTCCTCAAAAAACTACGTGCATCTTGTGGTCTGGTGCGTCTTATAGAGCGAAAAATGCAGTATATGCTAGTGGAGTTCTCCTGGTGTGTTCAATCCTGCTGGCACAGCTCCATCTTAACACCAGCTGAGCAGCCTTGGGATGTAGTGTAATTTATGGGTATAATTCCCCCCTAAGGCTGTCCCCCTATTTGGTCTGACTTGTGAGTAAGTGCCATTATGCTTTGTGGGGCTTCTGAGCAGATGGGCTGTGTGGGACTCATCTTAATGTATTGTTCTGTATCTCTGCTCTCTTGCAGCAAAGGATGGGCCATAGAGGTAGCTGTTAGCTCACTAGTCAAACTGTGACAGAAAAGTTAACTGGCATTGTGATGTCATATGATGACGCCTATGGCATGGTTGACTACAATAAACACAACCATCCTCTTAAACTAGAGGGGTTTTGCCTGCCGTATTTATAGGACAGTTGAAAGGACTATGAATTACACAAGAGCATGCAGTTCTCAGTGGATTGTATTCATAAGCTGTATCAAAAACAACCCCCTGTGTTGCAATAAGGACTAATCACAACGATACAAGCACAAGACGTAGGCTAATAGTGAGTAGAAAATATATAATAGAATACAGTGGTACCTCAGGTTAAGTACTTAATTCGTTCCAGAGGTCCGTACTTAACCTGAAACTGTTCTTAACCTGAAGCACCACTTTAGCTAATGGGGCCTCCCCCTGCTGCTTCGCCGCCGGAGCCTGATTTCTGTTCTCATCCTGAAGCAAAGTTCTTAACCTGAAGCACTATTTCTGGGTTAGCGGAGTCTGTAACCTGAAGCATATATAACCTGAGGTACCACTGTAATCATATCATTCAAATTATAGGAGTAAGCCAATCAAAGTTCATATGTACAATATAAGAGAGTGGTAGCGAGGGCCGTCAAGCCGTGTGTTCAAAACAGATGTCTAAGGACAGTCTCACAATAGTCTTTCAAAAGTATCAACAGAAGACGTCTCGAAAGTTTCAAAAGTAAAGTCTCTCAATAGTTGAAATGTCTTCCATTGAAACTTTTGAAAAACTATTGAGAGACTTTACTTTTGAAACTTTCGATACGTCTTCTGTTGATACTTTTGAAAGACTATTGTGAGACTGTCCTTAGACATCTGTTTTGAACACACGGTTTGACGGCCCTCGCTACCACTCTGTTATATTGTATACAGTGGTACCTCGGGTTACATACGCTTCAGGTTACAAATGCTTCAGGTTACAGAGTCCGCTAACCCAGAAATAGTACCTTGGGTTAAGAACTTTGCTTCAGGATGAGCACAGAAATTGTGCTCCGGCAGCGCGTCAGCAGCAGGAGGCCCCATTAGCTAAAGTGGTTCCTCAGGTTAAGAACAGTTTCAGGTTAAGAACAGACCTCCAGAACGAATTAAGTACTTAACCCGAGGTACCACTGTATAAGAGCTTTGATTGGCTTACTCCTATAATTTGAATGATATCATTATTCTGTTATACATTTTCTACTCACTATTAGCCTAGGTGTTGTGTTTGTATTGTTGTGATAAAGTTGTATCAAGCCTGAGTAGGACTTCTCTCCAGCCCCATTCAGACGTTTTCCCTAAATGTGTGGAAATAGCACATGGAGAGAGTGCTAGTATAGGCCATGCACGATCTCCCCACTCCTAATTGTCCCTGCGTGCCCTGGGCTTGCCCACCCTACTGTACCAACCTTACCATACGAAGCAGAGAAGGTCGGGAGGGTGGGTTGTTCTGAACTGCATTCACCACCTGAACAAGCTTGGAAGCCTCCCTATGGAGACCCAAAAGTGCAGGATTAGTGACAGCCGCAACAGGAAAACAGGAAACAAGGGCAAGCCTTAAGGTGTGTTGTTTAACTGTCCTATTTAGAGATGTTGCCAAGCTTTGTGAGTCCTTGGCTTGGAATGTGAACTTTGGCGACTTGCACTGTTTCAGCCTCCGGAGTTCTTGCTTGAGCCAGAGGAGAGCTGCACCCTTTTACCCCCCACTTGTTCGTCCACCGTTTAGAGGGTTCAGACTGCAACTTGAGCAACAACAGCAGGCAGAGCGTGTCTGACTTTGCCTCTTCCCTGGCACCTTGAATACGGTTACAGCAGTGGAGCCCTGGGCAATGTAATTTCCCCAGGATGCTTGAAAACGTCTGACGGACGCTGCTGCCTCCCTCTGCCAGAGCAGCCCCAGTAACCTGCTTGCTAGGCAAAGGGACACGGGTGGCGCTGTGGGTTAAACCACAGAGCCTAGGACTTGCCGATCAGAAGGTCAGCGGTTTGAATCCCCGCGATGGGGTGAGCTTCCGTTGCTCTGTCCCTGCTCCTGCCCACCTAGCAGTTCGAAAGCACATCAAAGTGCAAATAGATAAATAGGTACCACTCCGGCGGGAAGGTAAACGGCGTTTCCGTGCGCTGCTCTGGTTCACCAGAAGCGGCTTAGTCATGCTGGCCACATGACCCAGAAGCTGTATGCCAGCTCCCTCGGCCAGTAAAGCGAGATGAGCGCCGCAACCCCAGAGTCGGTCACAACTGGACCTAATGGTCAGGGGTCCCTTTACCTTTACCTTTAGGCAAGGGGACTTGAGAGGGAATTGGCCCAAATGTGCTACCCGTAACACCATTAAGCATTTGAAGGACTTTAAGCAGTTTTCTGACTTGTAGGGAACTTGCTCACTTGGTAGAACCCAAGTACAAACTGAGCCCAGGGAGCTCATCATTCCTAGCTGTGTTTGTTTTTTCATGTATTTGATGAATATGTAAACGTTTCTGTCCGTGCTTTCTGGCAAAGAATAAATAAGCCAAATGGACTGTTTTTCTGGTGCAAATCGGCTGAACAATTAAAATTGTGTGTGTCTATCTCTGGGGACGCGGGTGGTGCTGTGGGTTAAACCACAGAGCCTAGGACTTGCCAATCACAAGGTCGGCGGTTCGAATCCCCTGCTCCTGCCAACCTAGCAGTTCGAAAGCACATCAAAGTGCAAGTAGATAAATAGATACCGCTCCAGCGGGAAGGTAAACGGCGTTTCCGTGCGCTGCTCTGGTTCACCAGAAGCGGCTTAGTCCTGCTGGCCACATGACCCGGAAGCTGTACACTGGCTCCCTCGGCCAAAAAAGCGAGATGAGCGCCGCAACCCCAGAGTCGGCCACGACTTGACCTAATGGTCAGCGGCCCCTTTACCTTTATCTTTACCTCTATCTCTATTTATATAGATATAACATATTTTTGTTTAATGTGGTAATAGAGTCCTTGCAGTTTCATGCATGCTTTTATAAAAAATTGAATACTTGCCATTGCTGAGAGTGTATATAGCATATTAGATGATTCACTGAGATTTGCTTTAATTAGCTCATCCTTTTTTCCCCATTTTTACCTCCCCCTCCACCCCCCACAGCAGGGGCAAGAAGCACAGTGTCATTTTGAGGACCCAGCTTTCAGTCAGAGTCCATGCCTGCATTGGTAAGTGAGTTTCCAAGTATTTTGATGTGGTGAATGAGTGGGAAGCATTCCAAAAGCAAGAATCTGTAGCAGATGCACAACTTTACCTTCTGTCATTCTGTTGCTTCCTGAAAAGATGTTGTCTGCCCTCCAAAGGGTCCACGTAGCTACAAAATAAAAATACAAAATAAAAATGCATAGCAGTAGAATAACTCTTATCTGTTTAATGAATGCATGCAAGATAAATTTTAGTTCTTGTAATTCTAAGGAGCAGTTTTGAGTCCAGTGATAACATCAGAGCTTGGATTTGGGACTTGGCGATGCATGTACTTCCCCTTCGTTCCACAGAAAGTGAGCTTTGAATTCCATGTGCCTTGCTGGATCAAATCAAGAGCCATCCAGCCCAGAATTTATCTATATTTTGATTATTTTATTATATCCACTTGCTTTAATAATTCTGTGCTCTTTGACCATGTTTCAGGTCTGCTCAGTTACTAGATCATAAATTTGGAAGCAGGGTGGATATTGGGTGTTGTCCTTGTTTTCACCAGAGGAGCACACTTTTGCTATTTGTAGATGTTCAAGTCAATTGCAAGAATATCTGTAACAAATTTTTTTGCATGGCTCATCAAACTGCAGTTATTTGTATCTGCCTCATTAGGCCTGCTGGTTTGAGATGGCGAACTGTGGAATTGTAGGCTGGCAGCAAGCTACTGTATTTTAAGAAGCAGATAATATTTATTGCTTGCAATCGTGCAGCTCTTGGCCAGGCAAACTGTCATTACTGCTGTGTCAGTGACTGGAAATAGAATAGACTATTGCTGTCCAAAGGGAAGCCAAATGAAACCAGTGTGTAGAAGGCAGCTCATGCATATCAAGTCCTGCCAACTCAGCACAAGTGAACGCCTGTGTTTTGGAGCAACGTGCATTGCGGCACTGGGTGTCTTTTTAAACGGGACATTACTTGTAGCAGGTGATAGCAACCAGGAGAGGTGGTGGTGTTTACTAGGACTGGATTTTCCTGGGAGGCCTGTGTTCAAATCCCTGACTGGACATCCACTGAAAAGTCACTTTCTCAGATGCCCTTTGGATGAATTTCAGAATGTAGGAGCATATGAAGCTATCTTACATGCTGGCATATAATAATAATAATAATAATAATAATAATAATAATAATAATAATAATAATAATTGTTAAGTTGTGGGTGAACATATCAGACGACACAGCAATTTTTCAAACAGCTCTTGTTTATTCAGAGGCCAGAACAGAACTGAACTGAAGGGTTCAGTCAGCCTGCTTATATAGAGCTCCAGTACAACGTAACTGTAACAATTTTCTAAAACTATCCAATCACTGAACGCCACTTTCGATCCCTTATTTGCATAACTATCTACAGTATCCCCCTGCTGGCCCAGGGTGAGAACCTCAGTACATAACAATAACGACAACAACAACAATAATACCTTTATTGTCAATGTACAACCTGTGTACAATGAAATTAACCGAGCCTCCCTCCCACACAAACACTCAATCTCATTGCACTCTGTGTGCTTGTTGCACAACACACCAACCCCAAAAGTCAGTTGCACTATATTATTTTGCGTTCAGCAGCCTAACAGCCCACGGATAGAAACTGTTTTTTAGCCTGTTGGTACGACTGATTATACTTCTGTATCTCCTGCCCGAGGGTAGAAGGTTAAAGAGGTGCTGGGCGGGGTGTGAATCATCCCTGAGGATTTTTCTCGCTCTCCTAAGGCACCGATCCCTTGCGATGTCATCTAGCAGGCTCAGGGGACGGCCCATGATATCATGTGCTGTGTTCACCACCCTCTGTAAAGACTTTCTGTCCGTGGCTGTCAAGCCAATGCACCCCACTGTGATACAATATGAGAGGACACTTTCTATTGTGGACCAATAGAAGGAGGTCATCAATTGTTGTTTAACATTGTTCTTTCGCAAGACCCTGAGAAAATGGAGTCTCTGTTGGGCCTTCCTAACCACCTGAGTCATATTGTTTTTCCAAGTGAGGTCTTCACTAAGGTAAACTCCCAGGAATTTGAAGGAAGACACTCTCTCCACCCCCCCCCCCCAATATACAACAGGGCTAGTTCCCCTCTCTTCCTCCGAAAGCCCAACACCATTTCCTTTGTCTTGCTAATATTTAGGTGCAAGTTATTCTCTAGGCACCATGTAGATACTTTCTGAACCTCCCCCCTGTACGCTGATTATTTCATAATCTAGAAAAGTCGTGTTTGCTGTGACTTGCAGAGGCCTTTGCCAGCGCTCCTCCCTCCTGATGTCCTTGCAACTGCAGATGTTGGGGACTGAATCTGGGATTATCATGTGCAAAAGCAGCTGATCTATATTTCTTGTCTGTGTGTTGTAGCACAGAATTCTTGTCTGTGTGTTGTAGCACAGAGTCTTTTTCGGCTAACACGTTTATGTCAACATGGTGAAGTGGGGGAGAGACTATATAGCCCTAAGCATAAATTGGTGGGTGCAGTCGCATTCTTGACTCCTAAATAAAACTACTGAAATAAATTAAAACTCCTATAAAATATTAGCATCATTCAAGGGTACTTATTCTATGCTACCTGGATTTTGATGTGCAGGCATGCCTTGAATTCCTTCCAACTCTATCATTCTATGATTTCTTTGCGGCCATCAGTTTGGGGGATTTCATGTGGTAGAAATAATATAAGTGGGTATATCTGGGTTTCAAGAATGACAATGGTTTGCTGCTTAAAAAAAATCAATGTAGCAAGGACACAGGTGATTGAAACACCATGGACCATGGAGTGTGTAGTTGTAGTGAAATGCTGATTTGTTGGTAGCATTTTGAGAGCATGGCAGATTTCTTTTTTTTTAATATTTTTTATTGAGTTTCTTTTCTTAAAGTCATAGACACAAAATTAGGGTAAGAAAATACAAGAAACAAATACAAAACCGAAATAATAAAAAGGTCAATACAATCCAATTTTCAGTCGTTTTTTCAGTATTCCAAATGGACTTCCCCACATCCTCCCGACTCTGCGTTCTTTGTAGTAAAAGTTTCAGCAATTTGTTACCCTGTTTCTTAACTTACTGTATCTTTCAGTTATTATGTTTCTAAGTTCACAATATTATATCCCAACTTTGTACATTTAAAATTAACATAATAAAATTGTTTCATATTACCACCTCTTTTTTCTTGTCTTAATTTTCAGTTTACCTAATCAAGTTGCTAAAGCAAAAAATTCCCTAATCGTGCGTATTTCTTAACATTCATACAACTTATAGTGTTTTTGCAAATAGTCCTTAAATTTTTTCCAGTCCTCTTCCATTGTTTCCTCGCCCAAATCTCGGATTCTGCCAGTCATCTCAGCCAGTTCCATGTAGTCCATCAACTGCGTCTGCCACTCCTCCAGCGTGGGTAAATCTTGAGTCTTCCAGTGCTTTGCAATAAGGATTCTTGCTGCTGTAGTAGCGTACATAAACAAAGTTCTGTCCTTCTTTAACACCTTCTGGTCCACCATGCCCAATAGGAAGGCCTCTGGTTTCTTGGGAAAGGTATACCTAAATACCTTTTTTAACTCGTTGTAAATCATTTCCCAGAAGGCCTTCACTTTTGGGCAGGTCCACCAAAGATGGAAGAATGTCCCTTCTGCCTCTTTACATTTCCAACATTTATTATCAGACAAGTGGTATATCTTAGCTAACTTGACTGGGGTCATGTACCACCGGTATATCATTTTCATAATGTTTTCTTTCAAGGCATTACATGCCGTAAACTTTATACCGGTGTTCCATAACCTTTCCCAGTCTTCAAACATAATGTTGTGTCCAATATCCTGTGCCCATTTTATCATGGCAGATTTAACTGTCTCATCCTGTGTATTCCATTTAAGCAGCAAGTTATACATTTTCGAAAGTGTCTTAGTTTTTGATTCTAACAATTCCGTCTCTAATTTCGATTTTTCCACCTGGAAACCAACTCTTTTGTCCATTTTAAAAACCTCTTGGATTTGAGCATAATGTAGCCAATCCCGCACCTTATTTTTTAGTTTGTCTTGGCTCTGCAACCTCCATTTGTCTCCAACTTTTTCAATTATTTCCCAATATTTTGGCCAATAGGCCTCCATGTTGGGTCTTTTCCTAGCCTTGGCCTCCATCGGTGAAAGCCATCTCGGGGTCTTGCCCTCCAGTAAGTCTTTATATTTCGACCAAACCGCAAAGATTGCTCTTCTGACAATATGGTTTTTAAATAATTTATGAACTTTGACCTTGTCGTACCACAGGTAAGCATGCCAACCAAAAGCATTGTCAAACCCTTCCAGATCCAGGACATCAGTGTTCTCCAACAGAAACCAATCCTTCAGCCAGCTAAAAGGCTGCAGCTTCATAATACAACCTCAGGTCCGGCAGGGCAAACCCCCCTCTTTCTTTCGAATCAGTTAATATTTTAAACTTTATTCGGGGCTTTTTGCCCTGCCAGACAAACTTAGATATATCCTTCTGCCACTTTCCAAAACATTCCACTCTGTCCACGATCTGTAGGGTTTGAAACAAAAATAACATTTTCGGCAATACATTCATCTTTATAGGTGCAATTCTGCCCAACAAGGAAAGTTTCAACTTTGACCAAGTTTCCAAATCCTTCTTAATTTCCGACCAACATTTTTCATAATTGTCTTTAAATAAATTCAAATTTTTTGCAGTCAAATGAACCCCTAGGTATTTCACTTTTTTAACAACACTTAGTTCTGTTTCTTTCTGAAACCCCTCTGTTTCTGTAGGTGTCAAGTTTTTAGCCAAAACTTTGGTCTTTTGCTTGTTCAGCTTGAATCCCGCCACCCAACCAAATTCATGAATCAGTTCTAAAACTCTTTTTGTACTAGATACTGGCTCCTGTAATGTTAAGACTAGATCATCTGCAAAAGCTTTCAATTTATATTGTTTCCCTCCGACCTCTATTCCTTGTACCGACCGGTCCTCCCTGATCATGGTCAATAGCACCTCCAGGACTGAGATAAATAAAAGA